CAATTTATAATAAATTGTTAATAGAATATAACTATAAGAGTTATATTCTCAGAATATTGTCATAAGGACGAATATTCTGTAGCACTTACGAGTAGTTCCTAATTGGTTGATATAGGCCATTATATCAACCAACGAAGACGCGCCACGACAGACGCACGCAATGAGTGGTGAGCAGATAACTGATTTACACATTTGTATTTAGACATAGTTAGATGAAGATAAATAGTGATTTATTGCAGACATTAACTATTATAAATACAGTTCTACTTTTTACTCTAACCAAGTACTCGCTTCTTCTTACCGTCTTCCTCTGCACGTACGAGTGTACGTGAAGTTACGAGGCACCGCCTTATTCTGTCATCAGAATAAGTAGCTTGTACTGTCACCAGTACAAGCTTCAGGGTGCCCCGTTACAGACCAGGCTTGAGGCACGTAGAATCTATCAATACGGCTCGCCACCTCAGACCCCCAGTACGTAAAAAATCAGTAGGGTCAGGGCCATCGCTTTATTGTCCACGTTGTCACTGAGAATGCAAGCGTCGACCAAATTGATAGATATGACTAGGGCCTGAAGCGCCGCACTTTCCGGACGCCCCAACCAATTACCACCGAGCCTGTTCAGTGCCGGACTCTGCACACTGTTAAAGTCCCCAGCAAGAACCGTCATCTTTTGCGTCCATGACCATCGCTGTAAACCAGTAAAAAACTGCTCGCTATCCAACGGCGTGTTTGGTGCATAAACATTCACTATCCGGAAGTCGCTTATGTTTACTGCGACAACTCGGTTGGACCAGCCAGACAGATTCCAAGGGGTCGCTGACTCTGCCACAGTATAATTTAGTAGAATCGCTATACCGGCCGCCCGGGTATCACTGACGCTACACGACGATAACACGGGACTATCTGGACGAGGCAGTTGCCCCCGTAAGCGGGCCCAGGCAAAGGTGAGTTCGTCGACCTCGATTTGGCCGCGTACATGTGTCTCCTGTATAATTCAGGCCAACGGGCGGTGGACATCAGGCGTCCGTCTCCACGCATCAAGCCACCACCCCCTGGACTTCTCTCGAAATCCTCGGACGTTTTAAGTTTCAATCCTTCTGGACCCACTAAACCATTACGTGTCCAGTTTGTCTAGCGCTCATCGGGACATTTGCTGGAGATAATTGTGACGTTCGTATAAATTTGTGGCTCGGGGACCCTCTTCGATGGTCGTATCCGTAGCCGCTGGGATGTGGCTGCATTTAGGACTTATTTATCTTTAAACACTATTTACTTTCTACTCCTACCGAACGCGTCTTTCACTTGCTAGCCTTTCTCTGCACGTACGGTGTACGTGACGTGACCCGCGGCACTAACTACACTGTTGTCAGAGCAGGTGTACTAGCATTGAAGCAGTATCAGTAACCAGTGCCCCGTTACACGTAATCATCACAGATCAAGTCATTGGGCAACGAAGTCAGGTTGCAGCATGATCAAGTGCTTTTTGGTCTGCAGAATAATACCTCAGCCAGATCGTTTTGATTCCCGGTTACGACATTTTCAGATTTCTCCGAACATTCTACGAAAAGTAGTAAAATAGTCGTACGCTCACGTCCTACGGTATCTGTTTGTAAACACATTACTGCTTACGGAAAAGATGGACGCGTCCGAAACGACACTAAAAGGACGCTGGAAAGCAAGATTAATATGATCCGAGGTATAGTGAAGAATTTCTTTATTAATTCACATATTCATGGGTGGATTTTTATTATTGGTATCCATCCATCTTCAGCCTTTTCGATAATAGCCGATAGATATCGGTGTAGTTCTTTGTAACACTTACCTGAGAAATTTATGAGAAAATATAAATCGTACAAAAGTTCTTCTGGTTTTCAAAAATTTGCCAGCCTATGATTTCTCTGACCTAAACAAGTTAATCTCTGAGGATCGAATCCCCTAGAAGCACCCTAGAAATTAAATGTGCCCAATTTATTTGCACGCATCTTTACGGTGCGTCTGTACTGGAGCACTGCTCCACAGTGTCGATTTTTTTTTACATCTGACCGTCGTAAGCCCCACAAGTATGAACTTAAACAATTATTAAGACATTCACCCTCAATATCAATATGTAACGCACATATTCTAAAAGAGGCAATCGTACGCTGTGGGGTTTTATTTTCCTTGGGGCACAGCAGACCCAGGTAGTATGTCTCGGGATGCTAACCGCTGTAATATGACATTGCTTGCTTGCATGATAATCCGTTCTTTAATATCAAATCACTATCGTGCACTGTGCATGGAAAAGTGTTTTTGTTTGAAAACGAATCAGCGTCCAATCCATAATGGTGAGCTTGATGAGTTTTTTTAATCATGAAGAATGCGCTATTTTGACGGCTTTCTAATGCATACATTCAGCGTGGCATATAGATAATTACTCTCGCGCATTACGTTCGCCGCTACCCGAAGCTTTTACTTACACTCGACTTTCTGCTTGATCGAATATTGCTTTTGCAGAAAAATGGTCTCAAAATTTGAATCGGTTCTTTAGCCTATGATACGCCTATGTAATGCATCATTTTGCCACTGAAATGTGTCAATCTCATGACGTAATTCGCCAGTAGAAAGCATGAATGGTAAGAAACATGACAGTCCTTTTTAGTTAGCTCTTAAAGAATCAAAGAACGAAAGCAACGCACGGTCATCGATCAGTACGGGCTATGTGCTATCTTAGAAATTTCATCCTCAGGCGAAGATGTGGAAAACAATACAGGCTGAAAACCTCCGCGTCGGGCATTTTGCTTTCAATTGAGAAACCCCATACTCATCGACAAAATTTTGTCCAGCTTCGAAATAGCACTTAACGACAGAAAGGTTCAAGGCGAACAGCGACATCTACACAGCGTCCACTATCTAAATAGTGCACACAGCTGCTCTTAGTATCATTTTGCAACAGAAAATACGCCTCGCGCCTCTCAGCAGATATATGACGTATTTGTGCGAAGACCATCCACCTCAATAAAGCAGGTATCATTTCATTATCCCAAGTTTCGTATATGCCGTGAACTTTCTTGATCTTGTCACCGCCGTATGAGAGAATTTAATCAATCGAAGAAATCGAACGCTATAGGGAGGAGTTCATTTTGAGCCGGAATAATCATCCTCGTCTCCTAAACGAATCCCGGTAATAATCTTCTCTTTGGAAAGCTAATCTCAAGCGTAACCACAGCTTGAAAAGATAGATAGAAAACTTCATAAGTTCTAGGATGCTTAATTTGGAGAACCAGTGTGCCCGTGCACCGGATCGGCACCAGTGCGCCTGTGCGGTGATACTTTGATCAGCGTTAGAGCTATAAAATGGTTTTTTACAGGATACCTTGTCACTTACGTGATGTCCTAAAGAGGTTGAATCCTTTAACAACGTGAGGTCCTTAAGCGGTTGATTTTGTGTGCGATGAATTTGAAGCTTCGCGTACAGAATTTACACAAGCAGGCATGCCGCTATGGGGCGGTGAATACAGTCGATAACGTTAATTGCGAGCCTAAAGGGTCAAGCTATAAGTAAATGTGTGCAAAGTGCATGTGTGTGTATGTCTTTCGACAACACCAGATGTACCTTATACGTCGTGCTTGGTGCGATGTAGCACTATCTAATGCGCGTTGGTAGATATGTATTATACCTGTCATTCTATGGTTGGTTCCCGAGTTGCGACCACGTATAGGATGAAGTTACACTCGCACCTTTGCTCACAGACGATTAGCTTAAAGGCGACCAACGGAGGAAGGAGGGTGATCAAGCAAACGGGCGACACTCGCACCTCTGGCAAACAGGATACGTGAAGTTTATTTCACCCAAAGTACTTGATGAACTCGAATCGTAAGAAAATATATGGCCACCTTCCTCCACCGGAGGACGGAGACATACCCTTGATCTAATTTCTCGTTTTATCAAACAATTATATGCCGACGGTCGCACTTTGTGGTTGACGGCGTTTCGGAGCAGGGTCATCAGCCCTATCTCTTTTGTCATTTACGCATCCTCTAAGATCAACAACATGAATGAGTAGCCTTTTAACCCTTCACACTTTATCATCACCTTTCTTCTTATAAACACCGCGCAACACATTCCTAGCCGTTTGCCACCCCAGTGAGTACAAAAATGCTTAGAAATTTCATTCCGTCTTCTGGATGTAAATTACTTGTATCAACAGACGAGCTCAAGAGCTTGCCTCCAGTATCTTATGCGCATACACAACGTGCCACGCGTATCAGCTAAAATGGTCTATATTGCTCGTTAAACTCTAGGTAGACACTAAGTACTGTATTCCACGACAGAGGTCATCAGGTAGTTATTCCCCAAAAGCGGTCACCCTCGCGCTTGTAAGTAGCAGCTAGCAGTACCCGATCGCACGCTCTATACGACATCCCAAAGATTTTTCGGGGTCGCAAAGCCACTTTTTGTACATCTGCCTGCGTACAGGCTACACGTCAACGCAGTGGTAGCAATAGTAAAAGGCTCTGGCAACTTACACTTTACCCTCGACCACCAACTAATACACTCCCGATCACTATCGACGTTCTTCCTCGTCACACTACCAATCGCATCTCGATCCGCACCTGCGACTTCGGACCTTTTCTTGCGCTTCCACACTGGCTGTTCGTTCAGCTGGATACTCGTCGCAACGCAGCATCGACGAGTCATACCTATCATCTCAGGTTCAGCTAAAGTCTTCTGCGACTCGCTCTTCTTTGTACGTAAAAGTTCCTCGGATCAAATCATGGGCCTTCGACCCTGCGGCTTGATCCGTTAATCGGCCGAAGTTCGTTCGAAACGGGAAGCAGTCTAGCCAACTCTATAAATCATGAGCAGCTGAGTGTGCGTATCTTTTCGAGCGCCTGATTTGCATCATCGGAAGCTGGTTGGATCGTGAAAAAAGATCTCCTCACGCCCAGCTCCCCTCATTCTTGAACGTCCTCGCACTGAGAAAGACTCACTTCCCTTCACCTTCGAGGCGGTAGTTGACATGACGGAATACGGCACCGGCAAAAATGGCTACGCCGACTTGGAAAATAGCAGTCGTCTGCCGTTCTATCACGTCGGGAACCCAAGCATCCGCGCCTACCTCGCCGAGTTTGTCGGGACCTTCATCCTAGTGCTCATTGGGGATGGATCGGTTGCACAGTACGTGCTTGGTGGGGGCACTGCTGGTCACTACCTCTCGGTGAACTTGTGCTGGGGCATTGCACTGCTCTTTGGGATCCACTTCTCTGGCGGTGTCAGTGGAGGTCACCTCAATCCAGCCGTGACGCTGGCGTTGGCCATGTTCAAGCGCTTCGAGTGGACGAAAGTACCTGGCTACTTTATGGCTCAGACGGCCGGTGCGTTTGCAGCTGCCATGGTCGTCTTCATTGTATACTACCCGTGGTTCGACATCCAGGACCCGAACCGGGAGACGACCCAGGGCATCTTTGCGACGTACCCGAACGCCCAGATCCCCAACTGGTCGGCACTGGCAAATGAGATCATCGGAACGGCTTTGTTGGTCAGCGGTATCTTTGCCGTGAGTGACCAGCTCAACAAACCAGCGAGCCCCTATAGCTTCCCTGCAGCCGTTGCTTTGATGCTTACGAGCATTGGCATGTCGTTCGGTCTGGACACTGGCTATGCCCTGAACCCGGCCCGTGACTTTGGTCCTCGTCTGTTCACATTCGTTGCTGGGTGGGGCTGGAAAGTCTGGACGCTACGTGGCGGCTACTTTTGGATCCCTATTGTCGGCCCGTTCGTTGGTGCAATCATCGGAGCGGCCACGTATGTCGGGCTCATTGAGGCTCACCACCCTCCCCAGTGATTGGAAGCGACGAGTAGCAAAGGTTGATCGGGTAGCAAACTTTGTCTGATGTCAATACGCACTTCTTTGCCAGTTGCAGTAGCATCGTGTTGCTTTGGTTTGCTGTTGATCCGCTTCGATTGAAGGTGTAAGCTCTCTGTCAATGCCAACTACGACTGGACCAGTTCAGGCCTTTGATGCTTCCAATGAGTAGCGCCATCACCTTACCTGGGCGAGTTTTGTGTGTCAATAGATCCCATCCGCATTGTGGCGCTGTTGATGATAAGATACGGCTTCTACCATGACATGCAACAAAGCTGTGTACCATGAGCAACCAGAGGCCTCACACATAGTCGCGAGAACTGCTGCACCGTTGTAGCATTTGCGACACACTTTGCCACAAGCAATCAACTTGTGTTCTCGTCATCTCTTGCGTGGACTCTGGACAGATGTCCTTATACACTGCCAGCCCTCCCTGCAGCTTTGGCGACCTCGTTTCACTCGCTATCCACCATTCGATCTAGTCCACACAGCAACTATCATGCTCAATGCTCTCCTGGTCATCTCGCTGTTGCAGGCCTTTCACAACACGCATCTTACAGCCGTCTCCATCCCGTTGCAAAGCGTGTGATCTGCTACATCAATTCTCTTCTAGAACCCTCTGTAAAATGCCAAGACCTAGACGATCACCGTCTGCAGTCATGTCCCTTGCAGTTCCTTCCTCTTTACCACATCAAGTCCATCTACACCTCACTCTCGTCATCCAGCTCTCACTCACTCGTGCAGAGCAACTACATCCAAGTTCACCTCGAGCATGACGTCAAGTCAGTCCAAGTCCCAACGTAGCACAGATGGGACTGCTACCCCCTCCAGCGTTTATGTGCACACCTTCGTCGCTCGCATATCTCACCGACATGGTCATCAAGAGTCTCAAAGGCAAGTCAAACGCTAGTGCGCGTTGGGTGCGTCGACAATGGAGCGACCCCGTGGTAAAACAGGCCCACCGCGAAGGTCTGCGCTCTCGTGCAGCCATGAAACTGCGTCAACTGAACGATGTACGAGCGTCACGTCGGACGAATGCCTGCATCTCCATCTTATTCCTTCGAAAAGAGCTGCTCCGAACTGACGGCTCTTGCTGGCCATTCATTTTTTTCTTGTCTCATAGCGATGCCAGCTACTGAAACGAGGCGACGTCGTAGTGGACTTGGGGGCAGCACCTGGCGGATGGAGTCAAGTGGCAGTAGCAGCTACGACACCACGCAAGAGCCAGAAACAGTCGCAAGGGACTCGGGAGTTGCTACCGACCGTTGTGGCGGTGGATCTCAAACCGTTTGACCCCGTGGAAGGCACGGCCATTGTCGTGGGTGATTTCCGCCAGGCTACCGTGAGGAAGCAGCTGACCGACGCACTGAGAGGACGCAAGGCGGACGTGGTGCTCAGTGACATGGCGCCGTCGTTTTCAGGCAACTTTCTCACGGACAGCCAAGCGCAGTTGCGGCTGTGCCACAATGCGCTCAAGATGGCCGAGCTCTACTTGCGTCCAGGAGGGAACTTTGTGGCCAAGATTCTGCGCTGTGAAGGATCCGAAGACTTTCGCGCAGAGCTCAAGACGGCGTTTGACGTTGTAAAAGCCGTGAAGCCATCGTCGTCGCGACCAGAGTCCACGGAGATGTTCATGGTGGCCAAGGGCTTGAAGAAGAAGAGCGCTGATAGTGAGCTGCCACCGAAGGGAGAGAGTGAGAGGTAGCAGAGTAGCAGGAAGAGAGACGAGAGGTAATGAGTGAGACAAAGCAACTCGTTCAACCCTTTCACATGGCCATCTATTCAACTGCAAAGAGCGAGCGAGCTCATGTACCACGAGCTGGCCGGGCATCGAGATGCTCGACGGGGACAGCGCAGGAATGTAGCGTACTGCTCGCATGCACTCTCGCCGAGTACACAGCGGTGCAGTCTGGCCACTTCGATCGAGACCATTTCAGTCGAAACACGCAGGTTTGTCACAAGCAGAATAGAGAGAGCAGGCGGTGCTCAAGCACCATCACCACCACCAGCCATCGTCCACGAACAATCGACCAAGGGAACGACTAGTTGAGGTCCTGGCCCAGCCGAAGTGCCAGCAGCGTGTCGTTGTACTGGTTGAAAGCATCTTGGATGTCGTCCTGCAGCTGCATGGCCAGCGGGATCAGCTCGATGTTCACATTGCCACCAATTTGGGCCGAAGCTGCCACACGAGGCTGCAACACCTTGACGGCATGGATCATCTCTTGTAACTCAGTGTCCTGGCGAACGTCACCAGCAGCGTAGATGATCTTCTGCAGCAACTGATGCACCAACTGTTCCACCTCCTGTAAATCAGCGTCATTCAATGGCTCAGCGTCAGCAGCATTGGCCAGCGCCTCACGCTCTTCCTCCTCCCAACGCTTCCGCGCTTCAGCGTAGGCCTCACGCTCGCAGATATCTTGTGTACGAAGAGTGAGATTCAGGAAACGGTCCAAGTGGATGTTGAGTAGAGCGTCCGGCATCTGCGTGAGGACTTGCGTCATGTACCGGTTCATCTCCTTCTCGCGCTTGATGATAAACTTCTCCTCCTGGTTCTTGCCGATCATTGACGAGAACGGATGACGCTTCGGGAAACGTGGGAACCACGGAGCACGCTTGCCGCGACGACCGGAAGCAGCAGCTTTCAGTTCTTGATGAAGCGCGTTAAAATCATTGTAGCGACCACCGACAAGCCACGCAGTCTTGGACTGTTCAAGAATATCACGGCCCCACGTCACACGCAGCACGTACTCCGTGTACTCATCGCCCCAGTTCTGATCCTGCTGCTTGCGATGGCCAAGCATCGTACACGTCATAATGCCGCCCTTATACGGAATCGGAGGACCCGTCGGGAACTCCTGAATCTTCTCAACCGGATTGACCAAGTTCTCATCGTCTGCAGACATCACTGGACCGGCAGGCGCCTCACCACCTTCGCCAAACAAATCGCGGCCGGCCTGGGCAAGCTGCTCTTGACGCAATGCATCACCTGCAACGCCCTCGCCCTCAATCTTAGCATTGTCACCAGCGACCCAGCTCATGTCAGCATTCTGGAGTGACTCCTGTCCGACCATAGCACCAGCGACACCCATAGATCCCACAGCGCCAATCTGACCTGCCTGACCAGCTGATGCCTGCAGCGGCTGCACCGATCCCAGCGTAGCAGGTCCATTTCCAACGACACCAGCTATGCCCGGCGCACCAAGCGCGGGGGCGACTCCCAGCGTACCAGCTGCAGCCGCTTTCCTCTGGGCCTCGTCGTATGCGCTCAGCTTACGAAGAGCGGCCGCCTCTGCGTCATGCGCCATGGACGCATCCTGCGCAGCTTCGGCGGCGTCCTGTGCAGCCATCGCGGCAGCGAGTGAAGCTGCTTGTGCACGCTCTACAGCAGCTTGACGCTTAGCCTCTTCGCGACCAACAGACCGACGGTAAGCACGCTGAATAGCAGTAGCTGCAGAAGCACGTTTCAGCTCCAACTGGCGCTGACGCTCACGCTCCTCTTCTTCTTCCTCGATTCGGCGCTGACGTTCTTCCTCTTCCCGCTGCAACCGCAGCTGCTCTTGCTCGGCAGCTATGCGTCGGGCTTCCTCCACGGCCAGGCGAGCCTTGCGGATGTGGTGTAAGCGCTTCACAAAATGGCGTTGAGCCTGGATGACGTAAAACGCCGACATCCAGCGCCTCTTGGCCGACTTCTTCTTCTCAGCCTCGAGACGCGCATTCTCTTCCATCAACCGCTTCCGCATCTTCTCGTCTTCTACCTGAGCACGACGCTTGTTTGCCAGCTTGCGGCCGAGCTTGCCACGAACAATTGACTGAATCTTCACAGCAGCAGCATGCTGACCAGCAAGCTGACCGGCCATGCGCTCGCGAGTCTGTTCCAACAGCTTCTTGAAGGCATTGGCGGCTCGAACGCCACCAATAGCCATCTTCCAGTGTTTCTGCGCAAGCCCTTTACGGCGCATCTTGAGGCGGTACGCATTGCGAGCGCGGACAAACTGTTTGCGGACAGCAAACATGCGCATCACAGCTTGCATCTTGATGATGGCAGCCTTGCGTCTTCTAGTGTCCTCCAACAGACACAGGAACGCACGCTGAGCCAGCACCTTGGCTAGCGCATACCGCCAACGGCGACGTGCAAGCCACTTGCGGAGACGAGCAACAATCCATGGCCCCATCTTCTTCATGTCAACCTTCAGCAAGGCGTCAAGCAGAGCAATCTTGCCCGTCTTGAAGAAAACCTTCGTGCGACCAAGACGGTAGGCATCCGATTCCACACGGAACGACCACAACACGGCTTCCGTGAAGGTACGATCGTTGTATGCGTTAAACATTGGCGTGACGGAAGGCGGCAGCACAGGCTTGTAAATCCGGCAGATTTCTTCATACGCCACACGTGTGGGCAAACCGACCTTCAGCAGCTCGCACGTCGCCAGCATACCGGAGCAACGCAGCTGGTCCACGACGTAACCATTATCGAAAATGCCAGGCGTCATCGTGGGGTTTGGCTTGATGCACCGAATAAAGTTGGAACGTGTCGCGTTCAAAGTGTCCGTCAGCTCTTGCATCTGATCACAAAACTTGGCCGACACGCTCTGCTTGTGCAGCTGGCTCATGCTGGACACGCCGTTCATGGTATCCACGTCCATCTTGGACGAAAACAGCTCCTTAATCAGCGAAGAGTTACTAGAAGTCACAAAATCCTCCAGGTCTTTCGGAATCGTGTCGTTGTTCTTGTCAATGAAGTTGCCGATCGTGTACGGCACGCGCGTAGCAAAGTGCTTCACAATAAACTCGTACTTCTTGTCCTTTTCGTGAGGAGGCAGAAAGTGTGGGTGGCTTGCGTGCGTCTTGTGCAGCGTGGCATTCCATTTCTCGTCAGACGCCTTAGGCATCCTTGCCTCCTGATCCAGCAAAGGCAAGATACCGTTCGGTTTCTGCGAAATCAAGTCGATGCATTCGCGGTTGTCCGGCCAAACGATCTTGCCAACTTCAATACCTTCCGCTGCAAACAGCTCCTGCTCAGCAATGAAAACTTGCTGGTTGAACGTGGCCTGCAGAGCCTCGTTGGCGTAGTTGATCAGCAGCTGCTCGAAGTCGTTCTCCTCGAACGATTCGAAACCAAAGATATCCAGCACCCCGATGAACGGTAGTGAGCTATCACCGTGGCCGAGCGAGCCGTTGATTTTGTACAGAATCCACTTGAACAGGTGATTGTACATCGACTTGGCAATCGCGTCACGCACATAGCTTCCTTCCTTTGCTGTACGCCGAATAGTAAAGTTCTCCGTCCGCGTGGAGATCTCGCGAGTAGTTATCACGTTCAACAGGTTGTTGCTGTCCACACCAAGCAACTCGGCGCACGACGCCACGTACTTCGTCGCTTCCGGCGGCACCTCACCGGCATCACCCTCCGCTGTCTCGCGGTCTTTCAAGCGAATGTTACCCAGATGCAGCAGACCTGACAGAACCGTCCAGACTTGCTTCTGCAGTCCAGCATCGATGTTCACAGAGCCTAGCGCACTCGCAACTTCATCAAACAGGATCTCATCATCTACATTCGGGTCCGACACGCAGCCGCTTTGGTTCAAATAGTCAAAGTTGTTGACTGACTCGAGCTTTAACTCCTTCGCTAGCTCTGGATCAGCACCCGAGAGCAAAAAGTAAAAAATGTGAAAGTTACGTTCACCAGGAATCTGCGCCACGACACGGAACTTCTCCAGCAAGTACGTCTCAATAAACGCGCCAGACAACGTGTTGTCACCAGGCTTGAACTGCAGCTTCATGAACTTGCCAAATCGTGATGAGTTGTGGTTACGAAGCGTCTTGGCATTTCCAAACGCTTCCAGAATGGGGTTCGTGTCCCACAGTCGCTTGTCGAGCTCAAGTGCCAAGTCCTGCTGCACGACGTTCCCCTTATTGGCCGTCAGAGCCAAGTGTTCCCTAGAGGTGAGATACCGCAGTACAATCTTGGACGTTTCCGTCTTTCCAGCTCCCGATTCCCCAGAAATGACAATTGACTGGCACTGCGCCGGTGTACGCAGCGCCATTTGCTGGAACGCCACTTCAGCAATCGCGTACGGATGCGGGGGACAGTCGCCCATCTGGGTCTTGATATAGTCCGTGACTTTCGGCTCCACTGTGCGCACGAGTGGGTTCACAGCAATCAAGACATTGGCCATGAGCGTATAAGGTCTTAAATTGTCCATCTTGGACCGCACGTTCAAGTTCTCGAGGATCCCTGCTTCGTGGATGTAATAGAGACCCGTCATGTCATCCACGACCCGTGGATTGACCTTGTACAGGTCGCCAATGTCCCGCATATCGACCTTCTCCTGGCCAAACTGGCCCCGCACAGTCAACACCATGCCCTGCTCCGGGTCGTCGGCCTGTTCGTAGCGTACAACCTCCACAACGCGCCACACGCGCTCCGGGTCCGGGATCCAAATGTGCACGCCGAGCTCCACAGGCGTGTGCTTCAAGGCCGCCACGACCTCCTGCGTATTGCGTCGACGCGCCGAGTTGAGCGCGCGCTTCTTGTTCTCGAGCACGAGGCGCTGGGCGATGCTCAATTGCGTCTCATCGACGGGCGTCGCGCGGTGCGGCTGGAAACGGTCGTACGAAGGTAACGCACTCGACGACACGATCTCCACCCGCGGTTTGCCGCCCGACATTATGGGGCGCTCAATTCTGACCTTCCGAACGAGAGAGAGAGAGCGAGAGAGGGGGAGGACGTGGACGTGGAGATGTTCGGGCTCGAGTACCCCCTGAGGACGACGGTCGTGCCTTGGCTGCGGTCAGAGCGCACGCGCGACGGCGTTTCTTCCGCTCTCGAGGGGAGACTTTCGGGTATGACCAAAAGGGACGAGCTGTCGGGAGGGGTGGGGGTACGACGTCACGAAGCGGGGGCACGGGGGTGGGCTGGATGGTGATTGGATGAAACGAAAAAGAGCCGAGTGCGAGGGGTTGTCACGAGAGAAGGGGTGGCGACGACGTTTTATAAGGCCCATGCATGATGATGATATCGTCGTTTCGTTTTTTGTCGTTTTTTTGTTGGCCTTTTTGTCCTTTTTTTTGTGGTTGTGTACGAGGATGCTTGGACTTGCTTTTGCTATAGCTTGCGAGCGCACGACGTGGACGGACGGAAGGTCCGTCGTTGGGCTGGACTTATCGTTCGTGGCGCGAACTTGAGCTGTATATCTACGATACGTGGTTTGAGCGCAACTGGGAGGGCTAGAGGGGGGAAGTCGACAGGTTTGATGTAAAAAAAGGAGTCTAGGCTGTAACATGTATGGACTCGACGTTGTAGATTGTTGAGCACAACACAGCGTGGAGGGGAATCAACCAGCGATGAATTTTGCTATAACTTAGAAAGAAATTCCTGGTACTTAGCTGTACGCAATCGATAGGAGCACGACGAACAATGTCGATACTTTGCGAGCACTATCGGCGTTGAATACAAGGAACGACCGTGTCCGAGAGATTGAGTCTTGACGACTTTGGCGGTTAGGGTAAGTGACGTTTGTTTACGCTCTCTTTTCGGCACAACGCAATGGACGCAAAAAGAGCACTGAAGATGCAAAAGTCACTTTTCACATTCGGACGACCTGCACAAAGTCCAAACTCGCTGAAGTGGCAGGTAGATCTGTTTACGATTTTGACCGTCGTAGAGACGTGGTCTGATATCGGGGCCTTTAATTGTTGTTACTTTAGGTGCCGGCTCGTTGACGCCTTGTACTGACAGCCTTTTCCCTTCAGCTTTCTTCCTGATAGAGAGATCAACCTTCTCCTTCTTTTCTATGTGTTTGCGCACATTATATATTAGCGCTCACGAACGTCTGGTTAATCCAATGGTAGTGGTGCACAATTTGACTCACATATGCGGTCTGCTTGCGTCCGTGAAGAGCCGGAGTTGCTGATAGTATGTGCGTCGATCGTGTTGTGCAAGAGAGATGGATGATTGCGGACGAAGCCACGAAAAGTGCACCAACAATGTAGCAGCTCGAAACCTCCTCGCATCACCTGTAGATAGCACGATAGCATGAATTTTGAGTGGAGGAGGGCGTGTTTGCGCTGTCGCGAGGATACCTCAACAGCTTTTTGTTGTCGTTGGATTTAAGTCTATTGCAACACGAAGACGTTACAAGATGACATGTAATGTGTGTAGTATTGCGTCAAACTTGGAGCCCAAAACAACATGCGGTATTTCTAGCTCAACTGAAATCATGGCCAAATTCTGTGTCGATGATAGTTTAGGCATGACGACTGCGACAGGTACACGATCAATCTTTATGGTCATTACTTGTGGTACGAGGCTCAGTACACTGCATCTGGCGAGGCCTGAACGATCAATTTCTTTTCGTTTACAGATATATTTAAGATAGGGGAGCAAGCTCTGGAGCTCGCCCTTTGATATGAGTAATCCAGTTCATAGAACTGAATCAAGTTGCAAAATACTATGCCACAGCAGCAGTGACTGAAGAGTGAGTATAATCCTGTTAGTGTCTGTATCAACCGCTTACAGTATGGTTGGGCAACGCCATCGGCCTGTGCTCATGAGCGTCCAGCATTTGCTGATGTGATCATCTTCACCTTTGATCAATTTTGAGCCTTTCACGTTCGTGCTCCAGAATCGTGAACAAGCCAAAGAGTGACTTTAGAAACAACTGTTCTATGAGGCGGATTGGCTGGATCGCACTTGGAACGAGTAAGGTACGCCTAACCGCGTTATTTACAGACACAGAGACACACACGCAGATAGATAAGTACGATCGAAAGCTAGGCATTCCATCTTACGCACAGTCACTAATAGCTTCAACCTTTGGGCCCGCAATCAGAGACTGATCTTGCTGCAACTTGTGCGGCAATTAAGAGAGTCTGACACCGATAGTAAGGGCCGACGATGACAAGCAAAATATGTTTATCGGTAGGAATCAACACGCATTAGAATTGCCTGTGTAAGCTGCCGGCGCTGACCTAGCGGCAAAAGCACAAGGTGTTTAATCGGCTATCGTTATGCGGAATATAGATGAACGTAGAGCTAACGAGAGCTATGATGAAGACTGATATCAAGGCCATCGAAAAGGGATCATACACGGTGAAGCTAGAGTCGAGCTGATGACTACATGAGAAGCAATCTCGGCCAGATGTGTAATGGCTAGTCGTCGTATTCTGCTTTGCAAGATAGTTAAGCTCCGTTACCGTATTGTGTTGATGTTGCTAGATGCTTTTGCTAAAAAGTTTGTCTCAATCGTGCGAATGCATCACCAACGTTTTTCTATTGTTCACAAACTTCGCGGAGATTCTCGAGGACGATAAGGTAAACGTGTTTAGACGAACGCAACTTAGTTGACGTCAAGGAAGTTTGTGCTAGCCACGAAGGCAATCACCGTTTTAAGACGTGTGTTTCATCTTGCCGCACAAGTCACCTAAGGCCTTAGGAGCAATTGATCGTTGAACCATTCCGATACCACGTTAGTTACTAGTCATCTAGGGTAGTGCCACACCTGGATTCCTTTTTGGAAGTGAAGAGATCCGTTTCAATAGATGATCGCATCAATGGATAAGCACCGACAAATGGCCACATTTGTCTAAATATCTTAAAGAAGCACATGCTGCAACTTGGGGTGCCAGAAAGCGCCATCTAGCTGAATTGATAATCGCAGAGGATCCTGTCATTGCAGATTATGTGAAAACTATGACTCTAGTTATCTTTACAACAACGCTCACAGAAATTGAGTCTTTCCGAAAACATCGTTCATACCATAGAAATAAACAAGCTTCCGTAAATAAGGTCAACGCGCAAATGTCGGCGCTCTGGTTTATTCCATAAGCCCTCCGCCTCGACGTAGACCATGTTGCGTGTGAGCAACATTTATCGGTTGATGTACGATAGACATGCTACCAGTTCCCCAAGCACATCACTCATCCTGTGAGGTGCTCCAGTCTAAGTAGTAACAATTACATGCATGGGTGTGTCATGGATCAAGAAAGATGCAGCACCTACAGAACGACCATACTGCTACGGATCTCTCTAATGACAATCAAGTTAGACTAGAGCGGCAAAGGCAACGGTCTGCTTCATCAGGTCTGCTTTATTACGTATACGACTAAATGATCTCCACACCCAACACCTTCGGATGACAGATTGACAGTTTATAGCGAGCCCGAAGGGTGAAGCTATTGGTTACTGTGCGCAAGATGGAATGCCGAACTTTCAATTGTACTTATCAAATTGTCTGTGCAAGTGTCTGTGTGTGTGTGTGTGTCTGTGTGTGTCTCTTTGTCTAGGTCTGTCTGTAAATAATGCGGTTAGGCGTTCCTTACTCGATCCAAGTGCGATCTAGCCAATCCCACTCGCAGGAATAGTTGTATCCAGAGACACTCTTTGGTTCTAGGTCACTATTCTGGAGCACGAACGTGAAAGGCTCAAAATTGATCAAAGGTGAAGATGGTCATCAGCAAATGCTGGACGCTCATAAGCACAGGCCGATCGCGTTGCCCAACCATACTGTCCGAGGTTGATATAGACACTAACAGGATTATACTCACTCTTCAGTCACTGCTGCTGTGGCATAGTATTTTGCAACTTGATTCAGTTCTATGAACTGCACTACTCAGATTAAAGGGCGAGCTCCAGAGCTTGCTCCCCTATCTTAGCATGAAAATTGCCTAGCAGCCCAAACTTTTGCCATTTTGGCACAAGTTTCTACTACAGATAAATAAACTTGTCCGTCTTAATGGATAGCGCTGGGACCGGAGAATTTTATCAGATAAGAGAAGTTATCACGTAAGGTAGTTTCACTCTATTACCGTTATTTCTACTCAAAGCGCATCGCTTTCTTTTTTAGTAGTGACATCTACAGCACAACTAAACAACACACCGCACCACAATTGAACATGGCGCAGTGTGTAAGTTAGCACATGACAATGACACATGAGATCCGCATCTTGTGGGAAAAGGTGAGGACAGGCGATGGAAGTTATCGGACTTTCCAGAAAGGTTTATGGGCTTTTGAAACGGCTGTCAGATCTCGGCGTGGATGGATGGGCAACTATTGCACGTTGTAACAAAATTCAGGTAGAGGCAGAGAAGAAGTCAGTGTGGAAAGCATGGCTAGGAGCAAGTAGAATAAAAGAAGTGCTAGTAAGAACAAACATAACTGAATCAAATTTGCCCTCATCTGCACATTGTCAATTTCCTACAGGTTATGAGCCCAATGGCTAAAGGTGACGACAACAAGGCCTCACCTTCACGTGCTGCCTCGCCAGGACGCGCAGCTATTTCGCCGCGCAGTGCGGCTGTCCTGCGAGATGTGCCGGCTCACGAAAGGAGCTCTGCGACCGACGAAAATATTCTCGCGGTCCTCGCCGCCCTCTCGGACCGCATGGAGAAGATGCAGACTTGCCAAATACGGATCGACGAGGATAAGCGTATACGCGGTGCCATAGAAAGCGGCATGTTTCCATCGGCTGTTGGCGCGAATATGGGCGCAAGGACGATGACAAACGAAGCGCTAAGAAACTCACTAGAGCGCAACCCAGCGGCTCGTGAAGAGCGGAAGCCAGGACCGTCACCCGAACTCGGAGGATCGTTGTTCTCATCTCTAGAGACGCGGTCACCGATGCCGAACATGCAACAAGCGCGGGGCGTACCTCTGCTGACGACGCATTTTCCCAAGCTTCAAGTCCAGCAGCGCCACTTCAGCAGCAAGGAGCGGTGAACTATGCGACACCAACAGCAGTCCAGCGCAAGATAACGATCCGTAAGTTCGACGGAACAGAGTTGCATCGTGGCTTAGAATTTGTATTTATGATTAAAAAAGACGTTTTTACGACAAGTCAACTTGGCCGAAGCATCGTGCGGTTTTCGGTAGAGCGAAGACGTCAAGGTCGACCTACTCGGCCATTTTCTAGCCGGTACAGCCGAGAGGCACTTCCACAAGCAAGTCAACTTTTGGTGGAACCAGAACCCAGCAAACGACTACGTGATGAGACGCTTGTTGGAGACGTTTAGGATAACGATCACCGCCGGCCAGTTTATGAAACTTTTTTCGCAAAAGAAGGACGCAAAAAGGTCATAGGTGGAACAATTTCTGTACCTTGTCGCGTTAAGTGATGCATGAGGAGGAGCAGACTCACTGGTACTGGACAATATTGTCCACCACGCTTCGCCTGAGCTCATGGACGTGATGCGAGCCAAGTACGACTTACACGGACCGACTACTCAAGACGTGCCGAAGAATTGACGCACTTTGCAACATCAATTGAGCTTGTAAGTGGACCGATTGGACGTGAGATTGTTGCTACACATGTCGAGGCGTCGTCCTAGCGCAAAGAGTCACGCAAATGTCTAGGTTATGGCAAGACGGAACACATTTAAGCGTATTGTCGAGGCAAGAAAATAGTAACCGTTGGCAAAAACACAAAGTCTAGCGATGCCGACATGGTGTTTGCAATTAGCGACATCAAACCTCGCAGGCGTAGATTCCGCGGCGGGAGAAAAAGCAAGGCGCCGACCGATTCCGTGAATACTGTCGGAGATGCCGACGGGAGCAAATCAAACGACTGGATCTTGAACAGCGGTTCATGTAGGCACTTGCTAAATGATTTCTCGCTGATGCAAGACGTCAATGAGTAAGACCACGAGATCGCGATGGCAGACGGCGATTCTCTCAAGATCACGATTGTTGGAAGTGTCCTTCTGCGTGTGATTGCAAACGGTAAAGATCGTATGATCACTCTTACCGATATCTACCTGGCTCCGCAGCTTGCGCGCAACATTGTCTCGTACGGGAAACTCGAGCACATAGGTTTTGGGCTTGTCTACAGAGGATCAGGTCGCTACCTAGTGCGACGCATTGAGTGGGAGATCGCATTTGACGTCAGTATGCATACGAACGTGCTGTACGTCAAAACATCAGTGACGCAAAAGAACCTAAGAGCTGCTTTGATGGCGGTGATATTCGACGCAGGGTCAAGCATACCAGCAGACTATGTGCAGATTGGATCACGCATGCATTTCCATGCACGTAAGGGACACCTGTCCCTTACCACGATTGAACGAATGGCAAAGACACCTATTTCGGGTATCTAGATTACAAACCGAACTCGGACGATTTGTAATTCGTGCAGAAAAGGGAAGCAGACGAAGAACAAACAGTCCTGGACGGACACCGAAAAGAACGCGCATATCGATCGGGTCGGCTTAGTGATTTGCTCGGACTTGAAAGATCCGCTAACTCGAAGAGATCGACTTGGTAATCGCTATCTGGTTAATTTCGTCGACCACAAGTCGAACTACTGTCGCTTTTTCCTAGCACTGACGAAGGACAAGGCTGAAAGTAGATTCGAGGACTTCGTGCTGTTTTTAAGCGCATGTTCGAGTGCAAGATACACATCTTGCGAACCGACGGAGGCGGCAAGTACAAGACTGTCGATCTGTTCTGCCAGTGCACAGGAATTGCGCGGCAAAAAATCGAAGCAAGGAACCAGGCGTCCGACGGAAAAGCTGAGCGCATGCATCGGCCGATACTTAACATGGCACGCAGCATGATCTTCGCAAGTCAACTCCCTATAAAGTTCTGGGGAGACGCAGTCAAATATTGGGCTTACATACTGAATAGAATCCAGACGCAATCAAATACAGGACGAGCATCGCCAATTGCAACTTTAACAAAGAAAGCGCCCGATCTTCGAGGAATCGTTGTGTTTGGGAGCGTATGCGCTGTGTACAGGGACTTACAGAAGATCTCGATGGGACAGTGATTGCGATTCGGAGTTAATCTTTGGAATCAGCAGCGAAACCAAAGGATTTCGTGTGTCTTTATAACAAAAAGAAAACAAGGTCGTGACGGCTCAGCAAGTCGTGAACATCGAGACGCTCAATGCGGAGCAAAACATTCAGCTGCAGCGCTCTTTAAAGTATGATGAGAATCAAGTGATCACGAGTGAGGTCGAAGGTTTAGAAAAAATAGTCAAGAGCGCTCACAAGATAAAGAAGATTTGGAAGCGTGATGCGCATGGCACGAGAAGCTGCAGCCAGCGACCAGGAGGATTCGGCTCAGATTTCAGATGTTGTGATTTATATCTTCGAGAGGGGCCCGAATAATTACGGCGAAGCTTTGCGCGACTCAAGGCGTGAGACCTGGAAGAAGACAATGCACGAAGTGCTGACGGCTCTTGAAGACAACGGTGTGTGGAAGATAACAAAAAGCGCCCTGCCAATTGCAGCGGTTTACACACGAAATGGGTCTATAAAACCAAAGCGGACGCGCAAGGAAATTTAGAGAGGCTCAAGGCGAGATTAATTGCGTGCGGCAACGAGAAAGTCCTAGGCGTGGACTACAGTCTCACTTTCACTGTCGACAAGTCCTTGTCGACAGTGAAAGTGATATCGGCACTCGCGGCGACGTGGAAGGTACCGGCAAAGCACGGAGGTTTTCCTAACGCTAATTACAAGGCGGACAAAGAAGCGCACCTTGACATTTGTTTGCAAGTCCCTCAAGGTATGGACATCGAGTACAAGGCGCTTAAGAGTCTTGGCGCCAGAAGAAAAAATGATATAGTGCTTCAGCTGCATCAAAGTCTGTATGGCTTAGAGCAAGCGGGGCGCCTATGGAGTCAGCTTCTACACACGCGACTCACGGAGGATGGTTTTGAGCAATGTGTTGCGGACATGTGTCTGTACCGCAAGCAAGATGGTGAAGATGTTGTCGTGGTCGGCGTGTATGTCGATGATTTCCTTGCGACCGGCACTAGCGTTGTAGCAGTCGATAATTTCTTCGCCAGCCTTGGTTCGCTATCGATCTAGGATTTAGGACATGTTTCGAAATTCTGGGTATGCAAGTGACACTTGACGATGATGGCTCCTATCTACTGGATCAGGAGGATACTATCAAGGACCCACTACGCGAACACGGACTTCATGAAGCGAATCCGACTCTAGCTACTATTGGAGCAGACTGTTACGAGGTGCAAGATGAAGAAAGTGCGCTACTAGGGGCAATAAGCACTGCTACATGGCCATCAATCAAGAATATCCAGTCGCTTGTTGGTAGTCTACTATGGGTGGTGCATTTTACGAGGACAGATGTGGCGTTTGCCGTGCATAAAGCTACGCATCAAACCCACCATCCACGCGTTTACGACTGAAAATTGTTAAAGAGAATTGCATGCTACTTGAAAGGCACTCAAGGACTAAAGTAAAAGATGAAACTAAGAATCGAAGGCCAAGATGCTCCGAAGCTTGAGTCATACATCAACGCAGATTTAGCTAGTGACAAGAAGGACCGCAAGTCGTTAACTGGAAGTGTCATTTTGCTTAACGACATGCCATTGAACTGGAGCGCTAAAAAAACAAGGCGGCGTGTCATTGTCAACTTTGGAGGCAGAATTTGTGGCTGCTTCTGAGGCATCACGCAAATAACTCGGCTTGATAGAGATGTTGGGTAAAATCGACATGATGCCGACCTAACCCATGTATATGCATGTCAAAAACCAGGCGGCCATCAAGCAACTTGAAGGCGAGGCTTGATCAATCAAGGCCAAGCACATCGACGTGCGGCTCAAATATGTTTGCGACTATGCTAGGCGCGGCATCGTTCTCGCGCAATACGTGTGCTCGAAGGAAGTGCTTGCGGACTTGCTCACGAAAGCATTAGACCCACCGAAGCTCGCAAAATTACGCGCACTAATGTGCTTGTCGCATTATTTAAAGGACCATGCAATTGAAAAGGATGCAATGCGATGAGGTGCAAGTGGCAGTGGTGATGTGTTGATGGTGCGCTCAAGATAGCTGCATCCGAAGAGGAGCGTTGGAAAAGGTGAGGACAGCCGATGGAAGTTATCGGACTTTCCAGAAAGGTTTATGGGCTTTTGAAACGGCTGTCAGATCTCGGCGTGGATGGATGGGCAACGATCGCACGTTGTAACAAAATTCAGGTAGAGGCAGAGAAGAAGTCAGTGTGGAAAGCATGGCTAGGAGCAAGTAGAATAAAAGAAGTGCTAGTAAGAACAAACATAACAGAATCAAATCTGCCCTCATCTGCACACTGTCAATTTCCTACACATATCTATGTGCCAGTACAAAAGAGACAATTACGAAGTCACGCAGAGGGAGCTCCGGACATCGCTTTCGGATTAACACAACACAAGGGTAGCCCAGTCACTCCTTTCAGCTACCCTCAAGCGCTCTGCACAACTGATAAAAAGGGCAGACAACGTCAATCTCAGCTAGAAACGCCAGCAAAAAGTGATATTTCTTGAGATGGATGAGTCTTTGGCAGAGTGGTTGTGAGCCAATCAGGATCGTGTCACCATGAGCGGCGATTTGATTAAAGAGAGTGCGAAAAAGATCTTGGACAGTCTGCTTCCCAGCCTAGCCGATTCTAATTTTAAATGACTGTTTTGATTTTTTCAGGCCCGTCATGGGATCCGTTCGTATCGCCGCTTTGAAAAAAGGGAATCTTAAAATATGGCGCTTATTGAAAAAGAGTGGCCAAAATTCGGGAGGGCTCGGACAAGTACGCGCTTGCGGATGTGTACAACATGGACGAAACGGAACTGTTCTACAGTTTGCAAGTATAATTCGGATTCCTGCATGATTTATATCATTATACGTTATCCCATTATTCATGTTACAAGGTCAACCATTCCCTTGCAACCAAGCGGCTGGAAGGTCGGCAACGGCACAAAGGGCGTCTCACTCCCGCCGTTTTCTGCAATGGAAAGGCTCTGACAAGCTTCCTTTATGACTCATCTGACACTTTAATGTACATCCATGCTTCAAGAACATCAATATCAAAAATCTGCGTTGCACCTACCGCAGCACCGCAAAAGTATGGCTGATCCGGATTAATTTCCTTGAATAAATCAAGAATTTTGACAGATGGATGTTTGACAGGCATGTTCTACTCATTCTGGACAATTGTGGTGCACACGTGCCCCTGGCTGAGCTTTTTGATCGCACCCAGCGAAAAAAACACATCATTCTACTACCTTTCACCAAATACCACATCGAAGCTGCAGCCTTGCGATACTGGGATCATCCGAAAGCTGAAGGGCTTTTATCTGCGCTCTTTCAACCGCCTTCTCTGGCAACGAATGGAGGACAAGGTAATCAGTCCCAATACGATCAATATTCTGCAAGCAATCAGGATTGCAGTCCTGGTACGGAATGATGAGTTAAACTTACCACCATCGTCAACTGTTTAAATTTCTGCAGGATCCGCACCCAGGGCAACTGATTGTCGCTCAAGAGGAAGCAAACGCTATCGAAGATGAAGATGACAACTTGGATTCCACTTTTCTTTCAATGACCCAGAGTCGCAGATCCAACAGGTCCGTTACAACGACCCAATGGACATCCGAGCTCTTCTTCATTATGCAAATGGGGCGGTCGTGAGCTACCTGCCGGACCTAAACGAGGTCATACCAGATCATATTCCAATGGAGGCTGACAGCGCAGCTGTGGAAGAAGACGACGTTAAAGCGCTTCCTCTAATACCGGCTGCTGAGGCGCAGCAGATGATTCAGCGCTAGAAATCTTAAAAATGCAGCACGCGAATCGAGAGGACCAGATTATGCGAACCCTGCAGCAGATGAAAGACAAGATCACGGCTATCAGAAGTCGCCAGAAGGGACAGAAGGATCTTCAGAGCTATTTTGACCGAGTTTGAGTCGCGCATGTGTAGAACTTATCAGTCCGGGTGCTGTTGATTATGTTTTTCAAAAAACTGGTCAGAAGCAATAATCAGATAGCATATTAGTTCATCAGTTCTACTATCGGTCCTAGGTCGGGACCGGGACATTTTATCGGTTATGACAAATTATCAGTGTAGGCAGTAGCGATTTCGACAAGTTCTTCTGTATATCCTACGACGTCAACCGTAAAAAAGGGCTGAAGACGGATGGCGAGTCCAAACTTCATGTTGCCCCAGTAACAATTGAAACCGAACGCTCTCAGCTTTTATCCAGCTCCTTACCTAACTTAGTGTACGCCACACCGCCATCAACAATCCTCACCTTTTCGCCGCACACTGTTCCCCAATGTGCCTCTGCTGATCTCCCCCCCCTCCTCCTTCCCACACCTCGAAACCCTTTCGTTTTCCACTTTAAACTCTGCCTTTGTCAATACTCAAACCAAATGACGAAACTCAGCATCAAGGACGTGGACGTCACCAACAAGCGCGTGCTCATCCGCGTGGACTTTAACGTCCCCTTCGCGCAAGATGGATCGATTGCCAATACGCAGCGCATTGACGCGGCACTACCCACGGTGCAGCACGTCTTGGACCATGGCGCTCGGGCCGTTGTGCTCATGTCGCACTTGGGGCGTCCAGACGGTCAACCCAAGCTGAAGGACTCGCTCACGCCCGTTGCTGCCGTTCTCGAGCAGAAACTTGGCCGCAAGGTCACGTTCTTGAAGGACTGTGTCGGTCCCGAGGTCGAACACGCCTGTGCCGAACCTCCAGCTGGGAGTGTCATCTTGCTGGAAAACCTGCGGTTCCACGCTGAAGAAGAGGGGAAGAGCAAGACCGCGTCGGACGGCAGCGCCGTTGGTCCAGACGTAGCGGGCTTTCGTGCTTCATTGAGCAAGCTGGGCGACATCTACGTGAACGACGCTTTTGGTACTGCCCATCGCGCTCATAGCTCAATGGTGGGCGTGGACCTCCCGGTGAAAGCTGCTGGCTTCTTATTGGACAAGGAGCTTGTATACTTTGCCAAGGCACTGGACGCCCCGCAACGCCCGTTTGTGTCCGTTCTGGGCGGAGCCAAAGTTGCCGATAAGATTCCATTGATCATGAACATGCTCGATAAAGTTGACGAGATGGTCATTGGCGGCGGCATGGCGTATACGTTCAAGAAAGTACTGAGCAATATGGAGATTGGCAACTCGCTGTTTGACACGGAAGGTGCCAAGATCGTGTCGGAGATTGTTGAGAAAGCCAAAGCCAAGGGCGTGACGCTGCACTTGCCGGTGGATTTTGTCATTGCAGACAAGTTTGCTGCTGATGCTGGGAAAAAGGATGTCACGGAGAAAGATGGGATCCCCGCTGGCTGGATGGGTCTGGACATTGGTCCAAAGTCCAGTGAAGCGTTTGCTGCTGCTATAATGAAAGCCAAGACCATTGTTTGGAATGGGCCCATGGGCGTCTTTGAGTTTGATGCCTTTGCCAATGGCACGAAAGGCGTCATGGACGCTGTCGTCAAGGCTACGGAATTGGGTGCAACGACTATCATTGGCGGCGGGGACACGGCCACGTGCTGTGTGAAGTACAACACGGAGGACAAGGTCAGTCACGTGAGCACGGGCGGTGGAGCCAGCTTGGAACTTCTCGAGGGCAAGGTGTTGCCTGGCGTCGATGCCCTGTCACCGGCGTGAACCGCAGACGCAGGCGATGGCTCTTTGTATCCAAGGAGTGGTCTGTAGCTGTTGATGTTGTGGTTGTTGCTCTTGTTCCTCTCAATAGCTATGAAAGGTCATATCTTTTCTGCTGACAAGATCATTGTTATGACTCGATTCGTCGAAAGAGGCACAACATATCTCTTCACACTTCCAACGTCACAAATTATAAAATTTGAAGTGCCTTCAACTGACCTTATTCGCGGGAAATAGCCACGACATCGATCGATCCAGACCGTGACAAGGTCGAATGATGATGATCTATTTATTGCGGCGGGGAAGGAGATGCGACGCACACCAGCATGCAAGAACAAGACCTCGTGCGTACAAAAAGCCCCTTCCAACATGCACCTCGCTTCGCCTCTCGAAACAACAACCACGACACTGTATGTACTAGGGACAGACCGTCGTCCATCTGTTGCATGAAACACTACTACACCTCCGTAGTCGAGTACGAGCCCGTGTAGTTGAGCTGGTCAAAGCCCGTCATGGCCGCATAGCTGTGGAACTGCTGCTGCGACTCATTGTACTCGCGCTCGGCCTTGTGGCTGTTCCACTCCTCCATCTCGCGCTTGTAGCGCGCCCGATCGACCTTTTCCTTCTCGACAAACGGCGCCTTCTGCTCGTCCGTGGCTTTCCCCCACGCTTCCCCCAGCTGCTTCGAGATCTCCGTGTTCTTCATGTCTTGGTGCTCGGCCTTGATCCGAGGCCGCATGACTTGGCTGTAAAAGAGAAACGCCGACGACGCCCGTTTGGGCGCGTCCGGGTGCTTCTTCGCGCGCTTATTGGGCACGCGCAAGGGCCCGTCATAGGCCGCCATCTCCTCCTCGTAGCGCTGCTTGTCGGCCTCGGCCGCGACTTTCCACGGCTGCTTGTCGTCGTCGCCCATCTTGCCCCACGCGTCGGCGATCGCGCGCATCACGTCCGTCACTTTCGAGTTCTCGGGCATCGTGGCCTTGATCTCCTCGCGCTTCTCCATGGAGAACAGAATGTACGGCGACTTGCCGCGCTTGGGCGCTCCGGGCGCTTTTTTCTGCAGCCGCTTGCGCTTCTTGCCGCCACTGGCTTCGGTTTTCAGCGCAGCCCAGGCCGCTCCGGCACCATGTTCGCTCGCTGCAAGTGGTTCCATGCCGCCCGTGAAAACCCGGGAAAATTGCTTGACTTCGCTTGAGTATGCCCGGTACTCGGCGAGAATGAGCGGTCGCGGCATACAAACTCAAGAGATTTCAGAGGGAGGGATGACACGGATGGTGTCGAACCAGTTGCAGACGGCGAATGGCGGCGGGGAGACGTGGACTCGAGTCGGTGATTGGTTGAAAGCTAGGGATGGCGAATGTATCGAGAAACCCCTTTCTGGCCGTTCCATTGGTCGGTTCTCGATTAAAAGGTGCAGGGCTCGTCACTAAAGGTAAATAGTGACTCTTCTGCCTCACAAGGAGACCTGGGAGAAGGCGCGAAAAACGTCGGGCAAAAGATTCCACCAATGGGATTGTTCACATTATCATGCAGCATCATGCATGCTATTTCGGAGTCTCGGAATCGGACGGCGCACGCCCACGCCCTCGCTGTGAATCTCGGCTGACACAGCAGCAGCATGGCAAAGCACCACCCAGATCTGGTCATGTGCCGCAAGCAGCCGGGCGTGGCTATTGGTCGTCTATGCGAGAAGGACGACGGCAAATGTGTAATCTGTGACTCGTACGTACGTCCGTGCACGTTGGTGCGGATCTGCGACGAGTGCAACTACGGTTCGTACCAGGGTCGATGCGTCATCTGCGGCGGTCCCGGCATCTCGGACGCCTACTACTGTCGGGAGTGCACGCAACTGGAGAAGGACCGTGACGGGTGTCCCAAGATCGTGAATCTTGGCAGTTCCAAGACCGACCTCTTTTATGAGCGCAAGAAGTATGGGTTCAAGAAACGCTGAGCGCGCCGCTTCTTCTCCCTGGACGGCATCCAGAGCGAGAAGCGACCCACAGGCACCGGTTGTGGGTGAAGCGCGTAACACATAGAACAGACGAGAGAGAGAGAGATCTGGCGTATGCGATGAAGTTTACTATGAATGGGGAGGGAAACCAGCTCGTTTCCTTGTGTGTGTGTGTGTGTGGTTCACTGACTATTTCGATTGCACTTGCCGTTGTCACGTTGTGACTTGAATGTGTGCGTGTGTCACAAATCTATCCCGCACATAGCAACTACGACAAGATCATCCTCGCTTTCTCCACCTCTGCGTCGTTCATGAGCTGTGACACGCTCGCGTCAAAAACGAAACAGATCTTGGTCGAATGTAGTTGACAGTATCGTGAAAGGTTCATGTTGCAGTTGCAGCTCAAGTATTCCGCACTCTCAATGTCGTCATCGTCGTGTTAGTATACGATCAACTGCATGAATGCGGAAAGCAAGGAGTCACTGAACGACCATCATTCTCATGAATGCGGAAAGCAAGGAGTCATTGAACGACCATCATTCTCATCAATGCGTGCCATAGTTGGCCAGCTGACTACTCTGCCTCTCCACCTTCTTTCGACGAAACGACTTCAAACGTACCCACAAGCCACTGCACGGCACCACAAAACACCCATGTTACCTACCGCCTGCAATCCGCCACCTCGATCGATGATTCATGTGCTTCGGGACGTCTTTACCTCCTCCCATCGTGTTAAATTAGCTACATACACCTTTCGTCGCGTTGCTTCCATTTGGCCTGACATGTCCATATGATCGAAGAGCTTGCAGCAGGAGTTCCACTTGGTTCCAAGAGGCTGAAGTAGGTGCTGCGGTTTCCGAGAGTCTATCGACTGCATGTCCTGCCATCCTCCGTCCTAGTTCTTTTTTTCATTGACTTTTCCGTCGTGTCAATGCTAATTCCGATTTTCAACGAGGGCCCAACCTCGCACACAAATAAATGAGCCACTATCACATGTTTTCCCTTAATTCTTCATGTCATACTGAAACTTAGATGAATCGCGTCTCGGTCTCGTCTGCTGCACTGTTCGTCGTCGCAGGGCGTTATAAACTGTCCGAGCCAAGCGACGTCTCCAGTCTATTCCACCGTCAGCACCTTGAGCATGTTCGTCGAGCCTGAGCGGGCCTTATTGGTAACGGTGTTGGTTACTGATACTAATGACCATATGTCATGGACGACACTGTGTGATAGTGTGTAACGATGGGATCGACTCATCGTTTTGTTACTAATATTATAGAGTCGATATCGATAGGCTTAGAGTAGTACAACGAGACGAACTAAGGACCTAGCTAGATGATAATTCACTTTCCATTTTACCTTCTTCTAAGCTCTCCCACCTCAACTCGCTCTTGGCTGTTGCCAAAAGTCAAAAGGTTATGAGCCCAACTACGCCGGATGCGGGCGACATACTCCGCGAAGATAACTACTTCGTGTGGGAGTTCAACGCAAGGATGAGGCTGGCAAAGAAGGGATTGCTAGAGCACCTAGACGCTATGAAGGCCCCAGAAGAAGGAGACGCAAGCGCGTCAACTTGGAAAGTCAACGACATGAAGGCCTTCGCGATTGTGTCCACAATGATCAGCACAAATCTTCAGTCAATGGTGCGCACGGCAGAGACAACGGCAAAAGCATGGGACATACTGAAGACTTTCTTCCTGCGGCAAAGTATGCACAATCGTGTGCAGTTGCGGCGGCAACTACATGAGTTCAAGTTGGCCAAGGGAGGAAGCATCATGGATCACTTCCTGAGATTTGACGAGCTGTGCATGACTATGCAAGCTGTGGGACAAGAGATCTCACAGGATGAGCATTTGGTCATCCTATTGGGTAGTCTAACGAGAGACTATGACCCTATCGTCAAGATAATTGAGAACATGCCCGGAATGACACTGTTTCACGCTAAGGAAATGCTGAGACGGGAGTACGATGGAATGGCGAGGACAGAACACCAAGAAATCGCACTGAAAAGTACGCACACTTCCAAGTACAAGAAAGGTCCGCGCAGACATATGGGGAGATCAAGTTCAAGAGGTGAAAAGTTTTCGGGAAGGTGTTACCGATGTAACAAATATGGGCACAAGCGTCAAGATTGCAAGGCTGAACAAGTGGAGACAGAGCGATCTGGAGAAGAGAGAGCATTTACTGCGTCAAGTCGGACGTCAGCTGGATGGTTATTGGACAGTGGGGCAAGCAGCCACATGTGTCCCGACAGAAATGAGTTTTCGAATTTAAACTCACTGACGGACCCGATCATGATCACCATAGCAGACGGCAGCGAAGTGGAAGCGCAAGGTGTTGGGACAGTGCGCGTGCAACTCAAGACTGGTGAAGTGATCAGGATCGAAGAAACGCTATGGGTGCCGGGCCTAGACCGAAGGCTACTGTCAATATCGGCATTGTCAAAGAGGGGTCTACAAGTGATCTTCTCAGATCTGAGCTGTCAGATCAGAAGTAACACGGAAGTCGTTGCCCAAATACCAAGACGAAACAAGATGTACGTCTTAGAGTGCAGTCCGGCTGAGGTAGCCAACGTTTGCGGAGAGACATCTCAAGAGCAAGAATCAAGTGACGGATCAGGAGCGGCTGATCTACAAGTGTGGCATGCAAGATTAGGTCACCTGTCAACGAAGATGCTCAAGGGTATGGCAGGTTGCGTCAATGGATTAAAGATCAAGAAGAATCAAGGCGTTGAAGATGATATCGAGATCTGCGAAGGGTGCATCATGGGTAAAGCAACCGTCAAGACGTTTCCGAAGTCACCATACGGACACGTGAAAACCAAGGAGGTGTTGCAGTTGGTCCACAGTGATGTCATGGGACCTATGGAATCGAAGTCTCGAGGAGGATCAAGATTTGTCGTGACTTTTATTGATGATTATTCGAGATATATAGTCGCATACTATATTGAGAACAAGTCGGAAGTGACGGATCGCTTTATAGAGTATAAGGCACTTATGGAGAATCAACTGTCCAAGAAGATCAAGTGTATCAGGACGGACAACGGGACGGAATACGTCAACAGACGTTTCTCCGGTGTATGTCGAAAATCTGGTATCATGCATCAGACGACGGTACCCTATTCGCCACAACAGAATGGGCTGGCCGAACGCATGAACAGGACACTGACAGAGCGGGCCAGAGCAATGCTCAGCCATATGCAAGTGGATAAAATTTGGTGGGCTGAGGCGATGAACACGGCAGTCTATGTGACAAACCGAGTTCCATGTGCTAGTCACCCGACTAAAACTCCATTTGAGTTCATCTTCGGGAAGAAGCCTGACCTCTCCGAGATGTGTGTATTTGGATCAAAGGGATATGCACATGTCGACAAGTCGAACAGGACCAAGATGACCAAGAAGGCGATTCGATGTATTTTTCTAGGTTACTCGGATCAAATCAAGGGGCTTCGAATATGGGATGAAGATGCCAAGAGGGTGACGCACACGAGATCGGCTAAATTCGATGAGAGACCACCACTTCAGTACGTGCAACGTTACAGCAGATCAAGTGACCAAGAGTTTCGCGCTGTTCATGACGAAGACACTGTTTCTATCGATTTAGAACAGCCACGAGTCACGAAAGACATGGACATAGCAATGGAGGACAGTCACAGTGTTCAAGAAGAGAGTCACATGCAAGACAGGCGTACAACAACGATGGCTCTACCATCAAGATGCAGTAGCAAGATGCCTGAACACGTGGGTTCCAATGCTGACGATCCAATGTTTGAAATTGATGATGTGACGATGATTGAAGAAGATCAAGAATCGGCTGAAGACGTGTCAAGACAAGGACAGATGGTGATACGACCAAGTCGACAGACAAGTATTCAAGCATCGCAAGAAACCGCGATGGTTCCACTAGAATCGGTTCAACATGGACAATCTCAAGCGTTAATACCAGTGAATGGTGCTGATGAGGACTTTTATGACGGCTCAGAAGTGTGTCAAGAAAAAGGCACAAAGAGACTACGTATTGGGTATGAGCAAGCATGTGCAGCGTTCGAGACCCCAACGACATACGAAGAAGCTCTTAAGTCACCTCGTCGTGATAATTGGTACAAGGCCATTCAAGCTGAGCTCAAGGCATTAGAGGAAAAGGACACCTGGACTGTTCAAACACAGCGTCCAAACCAGAAAGTGATTGGAACCAAGTGGGTGTTCGCACTCAAACGAAACGAGCTGGGTGAGATTATTCGATACAAGGCACGTCTTGTAGCACTTGGCTACAGGCAGACGTATGGAGTTGACTACATGGAGACATATTCACCTGTGGCAAACCTCAACTCAATACGGGTGTTTTTGGCGGTGTGCTGTCAAAAGGGGATGTTGATTCATCAATATGATGTCGACACTGCTTTTCTGTATGGCGTTTTGGAAGAAGAGGTATACGTATACCCTCCTCTGGGTGTTCGTGCAGAACATAATCAAGTGCTTAAGCTGAATCGCAGTCTGTATGGGCTGAAACAAGCGGCCGCTACATGGTACAAGACAATTTCGTGTGTGTTTGTGGAGATGGGGTTCTCTTCATGCGTGGCAGACTCATGCATTTTCGTCAAAGAGACCAAGGGCTCGTGGATTTACGCTGCATTATATGTGGACGACCTTCTAATTGGGGCTGAATCTACTGGAGTGATGGAAGATGTGGCAGCTCAACTATCAAGTCGTTTCCAGTTGAAGATACTAGGGGGTGTTCGATACGTTCTTGGAATCGAAGTCAAGTACCTGCGCAACAATCGACGTCTGAAGATCAGTCAAGGATCGTGTATATCAAGAATGGTCGAGAAATTTAATCAAGTTGATGCGAAAGCAGTGTCAAATCCAAGTGTTGAAGGGCAAGCGATGGTCAAGATGGACAAAGCTGACACAAGAATGAAGAATCGACCGTATCGATCGTTAGTGGGGTCGTTGTTGTATGTGGCAACAGGCACACGACCAGATATTGCGTATACAGTATGTCAGCTGAGTCGTCATTTGGAATTTCCACATGAAGAGCACTGGAATGCAGCGATTCGAGTGTTGCGATATCTGAAGACGACGCAGAGCAAAGGAATTTGTTATGAAGGAGTTTCAGGCAATCTTCAGCTGAGCGCGTACACCGATGCAGACTGGGCAAGTAACAAGTGGAATCGCAGATCGATTTCGGGAGTTTTTATCATGATTAATGGCGCACCTGTGATTTTCAAGTCGAAGATGCAGCAGAGCGTGGCACTGAGCACGGCAGAAGCAGAGTATATGGCTCTTTCTTTATGTGTGCAGGAGGTTCTGTGGACAAGAAGTCTACTCAAGGAGATGCAAGTGCAGATTAACTATGCTGTCAAGATTCACGAAGACAACCAGAGTGCAATCGCTATCGCTAAGAACGACGGCTATCAAAGTCGAGCGAAACATATCGACATCAGATACCATTTTGTGCGCGAACAGGTGAAAGACAAGATTATCGACCTGCAGTATACTGAAACCAAGTCACAGCTGGCAGATTTTCTGACCAAACCGATTTCGACAAAGAAGTTCGAGTCGCTGCTGGACAAGGCCAGGATCAGAGACTTCTAGTCGAGGGGGAGTATTGGTAACGGTGTTGGTTACTGATACTAATGACCATATGTCATGGACGACACTGTGTGATAGTGTAACGATGGGATCGACTCATCGTTTTGTTACTAATATTATAGAGTCGATATCGATAGGCTTAGAGTAGTACAACGAGACGAACTAAGGACCTAGCTAGATGATAATTCACTTTCCATTTTACCTTCTTCTAAGCTCTCCCACCTCAACTCGCTCTTGGCTGTTGCCAAAAGTCAAAAGGTTATGAGCCCAACTACGCCGGATGCGGGCGACATACTCCGCGAAGATAACTACTTCGTGTGGGAGTTCAACGCAAGGATGAGGCTGGCAAAGAAGGGATTGCTAGAGCACCTAGACGCTATGAAGGCCCCAGAAGAAGGAGACGCAAGCGCGTCAACTTGGAAAGTCAACGACATGAAGGCCTTCGCGATTGTGTCCACAATGATCAGCACAAATCTTCAGTCAATGGTGCGCACGGCAGAGACAACGGCAAAAGCATGGGACATACTGAAGACTTTCTTCCTGCGGCAAAGTATGCACAATCGTGTGCAGTTGCGGCGGCAACTACATGAGTTCAAGTTGGCCAAGGGAGGAAGCATCATGGATCACTTCCTGAGATTTGACGAGCTGTGCATGACTATGCAAGCTGTGGGACAAGAGATCTCACAGGATGAGCATTTGGTCATCCTATTGGGTAGTCTAACGAGAGACTATGACCCTATCGTCAAGATAATTGAGAACATGCCCGGAATGACACTGTTTCACGCTAAGGAAATGCTGAGACGGGAGTACGATGGAATGGCGAGGACAGAACACCAAGAAATCGCACTGAAAAGTACGCACACTTCCAAGTACAAGAAAGGTCCGCGCAGACATATGGGGAGATCAAGTTCAAGAGGTGAAAAGTTTTCGGGAAGGTGTTACCGATGTAACAAATATGGGCACAAGCGTCAAGATTGCAAGGCTGAACAAGTGGAGACAGAGCGATCTGGAGAAGAGAGAGCATTTACTGCGTCAAGTCGGACGTCAGCTGGATGGTTATTGGACAGTGGGGCAAGCAGCCACATGTGTCCCGACAGAAATGAGTTTTCGAATTTAAACTCACTGACGGACCCGATCATGATCACCATAGCAGACGGCAGCGAAGTGGAAGCGCAAGGTGTTGGGACAGTGCGCGTGCAACTCAAGACTGGTGAAGTGATCAGGATCGAAGAAACGCTATGGGTGCCGGGCCTAGACCGAAGGCTACTGTCAATATCGGCATTGTCAAAGAGGGGTCTACAAGTGATCTTCTCAGATCTGAGCTGTCAGATCAGAAGTAACACGGAAGTCGTTGCCCAAATACCAAGACGAAACAAGATGTACGTCTTAGAGTGCAGTCCGGCTGAGGTAGCCAACGTTTGCGGAGAGACATCTCAAGAGCAAGAATCAAGTGACGGATCAGGAGCGGCTGATCTACAAGTGTGGCATGCAAGATTAGGTCACCTGTCAACGAAGATGCTCAAGGGTATGGCAGGTTGCGTCAATGGATTAAAGATCAAGAAGAATCAAGGCGTTGAAGATGATATCGAGATCTGCGAAGGGTGCATCATGGGTAAAGCAACCGTCAAGACGTTTCCGAAGTCACCATACGGACACGTGAAAACCAAGGAGGTGTTGCAGTTGGTCCACAGTGATGTCATGGGACCTATGGAATCGAAGTCTCGAGGAGGATCAAGATTTGTCGTGACTTTTATTGATGATTATTCGAGATATATAGTCGCATACTATATTGAGAACAAGTCGGAAGTGACGGATCGCTTTATAGAGTATAAGGCACTTATGGAGAATCAACTGTCCAAGAAGATCAAGTGTATCAGGACGGACAACGGGACGGAATACGTCAACAGACGTTTCTCCGGTGTATGTCGAAAATCTGGTATCATGCATCAGACGACGGTACCCTATTCGCCACAACAGAATGGGCTGGCCGAACGCATGAACAGGACACTGACAGAGCGGGCCAGAGCAATGCTCAGCCATATGCAAGTGGATAAAATTTGGTGGGCTGAGGCGATGAACACGGCAGTCTATGTGACAAACCGAGTTCCATGTGCTAGTCACCCGACTAAAACTCCATTTGAGTTCATCTTCGGGAAGAAGCCTGACCTCTCCGAGATGTGTGTATTTGGATCAAAGGGATATGCACATGTCGACAAGTCGAACAGGACCAAGATGACCAAGAAGGCGATTCGATGTATTTTTCTAGGTTACTCGGATCAAATCAAGGGGCTTCGAATATGGGATGAAGATGCCAAGAGGGTGACGCACACGAGATCGGCTAAATTCGATGAGAGACCACCACTTCAGTACGTGCAACGTTACAGCAGATCAAGTGACCAAGAGTTTCGCGCTGTTCATGACGAAGACACTGTTTCTATCGATTTAGAACAGCCACGAGTCACGAAAGACATGGACATAGCAATGGAGGACAGTCACAGTGTTCAAGAAGAGAGTCACATGCAAGACAGGCGTACAACAACGATGGCTCTACCATCAAGATGCAGTAGCAAGATGCCTGAACACGTGGGTTCCAATGCTGACGATCCAATGTTTGAAATTGATGATGTGACGATGATTGAAGAAGATCAAGAATCGGCTGAAGACGTGTCAAGACAAGGACAGATGGTGATACGACCAAGTCGACAGACAAGTATTCAAGCATCGCAAGAAACCGCGATGGTTCCACTAGAATCGGTTCAACATGGACAATCTCAAGCGTTAATACCAGTGAATGGTGCTGATGAGGACTTTTATGACGGCTCAGAAGTGTGTCAAGAAAAAGGCACAAAGAGACTACGTATTGGGTATGAGCAAGCATGTGCAGCGTTCGAGACCCCAACGACATACGAAGAAGCTCTTAAGTCACCTCGTCGTGATAATTGGTACAAGGCCATTCAAGCTGAGCTCAAGGCATTAGAGGAAAAGGACACCTGGACTGTTCAAACACAGCGTCCAAACCAGAAAGTGATTGGAACCAAGTGGGTGTTCGCACTCAAACGAAACGAGCTGGGTGAGATTATTCGATACAAGGCACGTCTTGTAGCACTTGGCTACAGGCAGACGTATGGAGTTGACTACATGGAGACATATTCACCTGTGGCAAACCTCAACTCAATACGGGTGTTTTTGGCGGTGTGCTGTCAAAAGGGGATGTTGATTCATCAATATGATGTCGACACTGCTTTTCTGTATGGCGTTTTGGAAGAAGAGGTATACGTATACCCTCCTCTGGGTGTTCGTGCAGAACATAATCAAGTGCTTAAGCTGAATCGCAGTCTGTATGGGCTGAAACAAGCGGCCGCTACATGGTACAAGACAATTTCGTGTGTGTTTGTGGAGATGGGGTTCTCTTCATGCGTGGCAGACTCATGCATTTTCGTCAAAGAGACCAAGGGCTCGTGGATTTACGCTGCATTATATGTGGACGACCTTCTAATTGGGGCTGAATCTACTGGAGTGATGGAAGATGTGGCAGCTCAACTATCAAGTCGTTTCCAGTTGAAGATACTAGGGGGTGTTCGATACGTTCTTGGAATCGAAGTCAAGTACCTGCGCAACAATCGACGTCTGAAGATCAGTCAAGGATCGTGTATATCAAGAATGGTCGAGAAATTTAATCAAGTTGATGCGAAAGCAGTGTCAAATCCAAGTGTTGAAGGGCAAGCGATGGTCAAGATGGACAAAGCTGACACAAGAATGAAGAATCGACCGTATCGATCGTTAGTGGGGTCGTTGTTGTATGTGGCAACAGGCACACGACCAGATATTGCGTATACAGTATGTCAGCTGAGTCGTCATTTGGAATTTCCACATGAAGAGCACTGGAATGCAGCGATTCGAGTGTTGCGATATCTGAAGACGACGCAGAGCAAAGGAATTTGTTATGAAGGAGTTTCAGGCAATCTTCAGCTGAGCGCGTACACCGACGCAGACTGGGCAAGTAACAAGTGGAATCGCAGATCGATTTCGGGAGTTTTTATCATGATTAATGGCGCACCTGTGATTTTCAAGTCGAAGATGCAGCAGAGCGTGGCACTGAGCACGGCAGAAGCAGAGTATATGGCTCTTTCTTTATGTGTGCAGGAGGTTCTGTGGACAAGAAGTCTACTCAAGGAGATGCAAGTGCAGATTAACTATGCTGTCAAGATTCACGAAGACAACCAGAGTGCAATCGCTATCGCTAAGAACGACGGCTATCAAAGTCGAGCGAAACATATCGACATCAGATACCATTTTGTGCGCGAACAGGTGAAAGACAAGATTATCGACCTGCAGTATACTGAAACCAAGTCACAGCTGGCAGATTTTCTGACCAAACCGATTTCGACAAAGAAGTTCGAGTCGCTGCTGGACAAGGCCAGGATCAGAGACTTCTAGTCGAGGGGGAGTATTGGTAACGGTGTTGGTTACTGATACTAATGACCATATGTCATGGACGACACTGTGTGATAGTGTGTAACGATGGGATCGACTCATCGTTTTGTTACTAATATTATAGAGTCGATATCGATAGGCTTAGAGTAGTACAACGAGACGAACTAAGGACCTAGCTAGATGATAATTCACTTTCCATTTTACCTTCTTCTAAGCTCTCCCACCTCAACTCGCTCTTGGCTGTTGCCAAAAGTCAAAAGGCCTCGACCATACCGTGAAGAGCCACCACGTTATCCCCCGGCTCCACCCAGCCAAACTGCTTGCCCAGATCCGTCGCGCGGTACAAGATCGAGTCGGTGCCGATCATAGAGCCCATGCAACGCGCGGTGACGCCCTTGTTAAAGCCCTCAGCTTGACGGGCAGTCCCACCCCGAGCAGTAAGCACTAGAACGGGCATTGACGGTCGAAATTTAGCGACCAAACGTGCAGTGTCGCCCGACTCAGTCAACACCACGATCATCTTGGCCTTAATGTCGATCGCAGTCTTCACTGCGGACGACGTGATGGCCTCCTGCGTGCTCATCTGGCCAAATGTACCCAGCACCGCATTGTGTAGAGCCTGGTAGAGCTCGTTGTAGTGGATCGCACCTTCTGCTTGCACACAGATCTTGGCCATTATCGCCACAGCTTCGCTAGGGTAGTCGCCGCTCGCGGTCTCGCCTGACAGCATCACAGCATCCGTGCCATCCAGCACAGCATTGGCCACGTCTGTGCACTCGGCACGCGTCGGTCGCGGGGCTTTGATCATAGACTCGAGCATCTGCGTAGCTGTCACGACAGGTTTGCCAGCGATATTAGCTCTACGGATCATCATCTTCTGTGCGAGAAAGACCTTTTCCGGCGGAATCTCCATGCCCAAATCCCCACGAGCGACCATGATGCCGTCAGCTTTGGTCAAGATCTCGTCAAAGTTCTCGAGTCCTTCCTGGCTCTCGATTTTCGCGATGATCTTGACACTACGGCCGCGACGGCCAAGGACCTTGCGAATGTTGTCAATGTCTTGGCCCGTGCGGACAAATGACGCAGCAATGTAGTCCACGTCGTGTACCAGACCAAAGTTGACGAGATCGTCTTCGTCCTTCGCCGTCAGCGTCGGGAGCAGCACCTTGCATCCAGGCAGGTTCATGTTCTTCCGCTCGCCTAGCGTCGCTGTATTCGTCGCCCGAGTCACGACGCTCGTCTCCTTGATGGCAGTGACTGTCAGCACCAGCGCGCCATCGGCGACGAGAATGGAGCTGCCGAGCTCGACCGACTGGGGCAGCTCGGGATACGAACAGGCGATCTTGCTTTCGTTGCCAAGGAACTCGTAGTCGGTCGTGAGCTCCACGGTGGCATCCTTCTGGATAGTGACTTTGTCCTTGTTGGCCAGAAACCCCGTGCGGATCTCAGGACCTTTGGTGTCCAACATGGTGGCAACGTTCTTGTGCGGGCGCGTAGCCAACGCTGCGCGCAGTCGGTTGAGCGTCTCCGTGTGGCTCCTTTGGTCTCCGTGCGAAAAGTTGAAGCGAGCGACGTTCATGCCCGCGTCAAGCAGCTCTGTGAGTCCCTTTTCGGACGAGCAGGAGGGGCCAAGTGTACAGAAGATGCGCGTCTTGCGCTCTACGCCGTCCACGCTGCGCATGATGCTCTCGAGTTGGCAGCCTTGATGGCTCAGTCCGATTGCTCCCGACATGGTAATCTAACACACGTACAGAGACAGAGACAGATGGAGAGAGTCACGTCTACTTGCCTGGGCTCCTTTGCTTTCGAGCTCTATCGATGGACGACGCACTATGGCGAACCCTAATTTGGTTGTATGATTGGAGATCACCTGATGCAGTGGCTTCTCTCTCGGACTTGGCACAGTCAGTTACCGCAAAACGCACCCTGAATGACGCGGGAAGAAGGTTCGAACTCGCGGAAAGCAGGAAAAGTATCTTGCAGGTCGAACGTGGTATTCCAAGAAAACCGGTCTCCTGTCTCTGCTGCTCTATGATTGGGCCTGATCACGCGCTGTATTGAAGTGTCTTGAGCTGCCGTTATCGCAGGTCTCACATTTTAGGATGGCTACCTCGTGTGTTCGTTGTGTTATGCTCACTATGTATTGTATAGTCTCTGGCTTTGGTATACACTCGAGGTAGCCCCTTTGATATTGATCAATGGTCGATCACTGAAACTAGACATTCCAACGCAAAGATAACGGACATTCCACAAACAGCATCATGAAAAACACTTTTAATAAAAACAAACTTGGTGTGTCGCGCCACGACTAAAAGCACTTGTACTGGAATTCGCGGCTACCGCAGTATAGCTGAGTTTACGCATCGACTTGCAGGGGCACCGACGCGTCTACCGAGTTTCATTACAAGTCCACGGTCCTTTCCATCGGCACTTGTTCTCCGTGTGTGCCAGTAATAATGCTCACTCGCAGCTCTTTCACCGAGTCGAATGTGATGATGTATGTGTTACTGGCCTTTACGGTAATTATTGAGTATTGTTATTTTATCGAGTCTATGGAAAAATGGTAGTAATTTCACAAGCTTCAGTCTACACCTGCGACGACTAGAGCCACTACCACCTTTCCTTTCTGTTCTACCTGCGCTGAGCCGTCTTGTTTCATGGCGATGTCCCTGTCGCCACTCGCAAGTACTTTGGGTTTGTATCGACTATGTGACGTGACATGACGAGACGTGACGGTTGATACCGGGGGGGGCAAGCTCCTCAACCTATTGCTATACGGTGTTAAGCGCTGTTTCCGTAGGGAAGCAAAACTCCCTACGGAATTGTTTAGCGTGACTATCTAGCTTCCTTAGAGAATCCCCACGAGACCACTTTATCGAGTGCTACATCGCTATTATGAAGTTAATTTGAATTATTTGCGTCCCCATCGCACCAGTTTACAAGATCGAAACGCAAGCTCTACAGCTCGCCCTTTGATATGAGTAATTCCGTCAATAAACTGGATCAAAATCTGTACATTTTCTTCCTTTGCGCTCAGTCATTGCAGATTTACCCTCCGGGCTCACAATCATGTCTATGGACCAATAAAGAGGGAATAAACGCACATCGTCACCAAGCATTTTACAGACACAACACGTAATAGACTACCTCGCACTTACTTCTACGCGTAAGGTAGAGGGAGGGGGGTCCTCAGAAGCAAGCAACTCGCCTAGAAAGGCAAGTGGATGATCGCAAAATAAGCCGGGAGCTAACAAGCGTATGAGAGGTCTCCCTAAACATAATTTTGTCCTACACGTCTCCTAGTAACTATAACTGCACCGCAGCGAATTCGTGAATTCTGTAAAGTATTGCCTCCAAATGCTCTGCTTTAGAAACCCATCCCTTCAAAAAGACTACGATGAGTGACTCTTCTTGGTCACTTTCTTTTCCTTATCCAGCAGAAACCTATAACAATCTAGAGCTCGAAAAGGAAGATGCTCACGCTTATGCGTAGGAGAATGGCTTCGCGATTGTTGTATAAAAGGCGTCTAACTGGGGTTTCCATATGTATTAGGAAGGTGTGGATGCGCTATGCGCAGAAAGGAGAACATCGCGCCCCGTCACCTGAAGATGCACCTCTCCGAAAAGGGTCAGCAGAAAAGTGTGCTGTCCTTATGCGTTTGTCGTTCTATCAAGGTACGAGTATATATTATGACGTGAAACATCAGGTTTACAATTGTTCTACCTCTCTCCGGATTGCTTCTTTACAATTAACAGGTGTGATGAAAAGTGCGACTGGCAACGGTCACTCATTCTGCGACCGAGTCATTTAATTCTTTCGGGCAGTCCAGGTTTGTGCTCCTCTTCTACTGATGTACAGCTGTCCATGTTTGCCGCTACCTTTGTCGTTGTGCAGGAGCTGATTCTGGTCTAATTGCCGATATGCTTGTCGCGAGCTTCAACTCTTTACGCTTGAACTGGTACACACTGCCCGGCTGCTATGTCAAATAACGTTACACAGTAGTTTGCACAGCTCTTCTGATCATCCGCTTATTTCTATGTAAGAAGAGCATTATTTCTATTCCACGTTAATTTGTAGCCGTTTTACCTCTTGCAGACTACCTACTTGTGTTTAGACGACTTGCTGGTGTTTAGAATCTCCTGTAAGGTTACACCTGTTAAATGTACATACACAGGAGGTGACAGGTTAAAACGCATTCAGTATGACGTTATAGTATGCCTAGGTTCAATAACAGACGGATACACACAATTGAGATTGATTTAAAAGTTTGGTATACACCTTGCGCACATTCACATACAGATTCCCCCTTCGGGCTCAAAATGAATAAGAGTACTAGTGGATGGTGTGCATTGAAGCTGTTCGTAGATGTGTATATTTTTAAACTGACAAATGTTAAAAGGAGATTTAGTGTGATTTTGCTCGGTACGTACGCGGCTGGCCGGCCAGCCGCGTACGACGTGTACTTGAGGTTATTGTTCAGAATACGTAAAGCAGATAGTGCGTGCAAGTGCTCAGAAAAATCGACAAGCAAAATGTACTAGCCCATTTCGCCGAGTTTGTTCGGCGAAATGGGCTATTATGTTGGGGGGAAATTATTTTGCAGTTCGCCCCTTCGAGTTCAGTTGTGACTTTCGGCTAACGGGTTCCTTGCAACCCATATATCCAGAAGACTGCCTGAGCTCAGCATCTTCTAAATTAACGCTCCTGTGAATCTCACCAATTGGTGGATGTCGGCGTTTTTACGCTTTTACAGTTCACCGAACGAAATATACGTTTTTACTAGAAAGTTTACGGTGTCCTTGGTTAAAGTTTTAACGACTCGTCGCTCGACGGGTCTGAATGCAGTGCCGTCTGCGGGGTCACTGTCTCACCTCTCGACAAGACTCAAACGGCATCATCTAATGGACTGACCGGCTCATAGTCGACGAGGCTTCAGCGGTGTTATCTAATGGGTTGGCCGGCTTGTCACTCGACAAGGCTTTAGCGGTACATTCTTAAGAATTAAACGGCTCTTCGTCGGTGTTTTTGCTTGCATTGAGCGGTTTGTGCCATGAACCTCTACGAGCTATGCCTCTCGAGGCTGAATGGCAGGCATCAACCAGCCCACACAGGGACTCATTGGAGGAGTTCACGCTTTACTAGGACTCGGTAAATGTTGCTCTGTGTTTAATTTTCCCTTTTTTGCTTGACGGAGACTATTGGGTGGCTCTCATTCTTCTCCCTCCTACCCCCATATTTACCTAGTGACTCGATCAATCATCTTCCATCTTCTTCGCTGGATTTAGAGCTCTACGAGTTTGAACAAGACGAGCCTTAACTTGACGACCCTCATTTTGACGATTCTCATCTCGCAGAGTCTCATCCCTACGAGTCTTACATCAACAAAGCTCATATCTACGAGTCTTATCTCATCGAATCCCGTCTTGACGTGTCTCATATGGACGAGTCTCATCTCGACGAGCTTGAGCTCAACGAGACGTAACCGAGCATTATCTCGAGGGATAAAGAACTTTGGAATAAGCTAATAGGAGGGATCAATAGTTAGAATTTTACCTCAATTATAAAGAAACTATTCTATTAAATCCTATAATAGTATACACAATGAAAGCAGTGGCAGAAATAAGCTATCAAACAGCTAGCCATAGTCGCTTTTGCATCGGCCTGTAGGAAATTTGGTCAATACTGTCGTTGTCAGGATTCAACACGATTTTGAGTATTTTTATACCTGATAGTTGCATACAAGCACGCACAACAAAAGAGCAAAGGGGTAGGTGCACCTAGGATTCGTGCTATTAGTAGAGCTAAGAAATGAATAGTCTGACCGAATGTAAAACCATCATCAGCCACCTGTAATGATACCTTCTGCAATCACGAAATACGCCATTAAACTATTAGAATTTGTCATTTGTAGTCGGAGTCTTCTGCGAATTACAGCCGGTCTGGCACAACTACAAAATCTTACGAAAGGGTCTGACATGAGCATAGGTCAAGAAGGACAGGCGTCCTACCTTAAACTGATATAGCAAGCTTTAGGAATCAAGAATGCTTTACTTCCCAACTGAAGGTTGAATTTATAAGTAAAGAGGGAGATACTTTGACCCAACCAAAGCTTAAATCAGAAACTCAACAAATAATTTAATTGCTCAGATTCAAATAGAAAAAGGCCCGGAGAAAATTGGCAATCTGGTTCGGTGACGGATCCTCCGGCTCTTCTCGCGAGTCGAATTCAAGATATGAACAGTGAAATCGATTCTCTTCGCAGCCGATTCAGCTTCACAAAGCCATTTCTTTCTCAGCCAATTTCGGTAGAGCAAGTACAAAATAGAGTGGTTCGAGATTAAGGTACGTTTCGTCACAATAATTTATATAATTGCAAAAGTTTGCCATACGTGTCTGCTATTTTCACCGAGTACCAACAACCACACTAACAATCATGGTATACGCTCCAGTCTCAATTGACCATCGCGCATACTAGACATGGACTTGTGTGCCTATTATAGAAAGGATGAATACATACAAGTGTTGCTCTGGAAACTTCCTTCACCTCCAAAAAGATAGATACACAGCAGCCATCGGCGCAACCCTTGGATCTATAAATGCTCCATTACAACTACTTTCAGGAGCCATCAAACAGCAAAAGCACTGATAGTATCGATGATGTGGAAGTGCTAAAGATGCGATCATCCGCTGGATTAACCTTCCTTAGGGATGATAAAAACTGAGCTGTTGAA